GGTCATTCCGGGTGGGGTCCCAGGACGGGAGCAGCTCCGGGTGGGCCCGGGCCAACGTCGGGCGGTGTCGCGTGGCACACGTCGGGCAGCCCGTCCGTAACACGCAGCGCACGAAGACGGCACAGCGCCAGACCCCACCACAGCGCGCACAGCGCCACGGCAGGACGGCCGCGTCCTCGACCGTGAGGGCCGTGACCGGGGGGCCGTCGGAGGCCGCCGCGACGTACTCCGCGGCGTAGTCCGGAAAGGCCTCCTGGAGGGATTTGCTCGCGAAGGACTCGCCAGGGCCGACGACCGCGGAGGGGACAGGGGGGCTCCTCCCCAGCCCGGAGCCAACGCGCCCCTCTTCTCCTTCGCCTTCCCCGTCGTCATCGTCGTCGTCGTCGCGGAGGCCTCGAGGGGGACGGCCGAACGCCCACGCCTCCTTGTCGGCGACCTGCTTGGTCATCGGATCCTCGTCGAGATTGCCGTTCCCATCGGCGTCCTCAGGGTCATGGGGGTCTTTTGAGGGCTTTATCGCAAAGGGATCGTGGCTCTCCACTTTTAATATCACCTCCTCGGCGTTCATGTAGTCCGTTAGTTCACCCGAAAGTCCGTCCTCAAGCTCGGATTCGTCATTTTCTAGACTATAGTCCACTTCGTCCTGAGTGCGATGACGGATACCGAGCGAAGTTGATGTGGTACGATTGAGACTTCTTGATTTAGCACGGCGGCGTAACTTTGCCGCTGGCTTTTTTGAATTTTGCCCCGGGGTTTCATTCGGATGAGACCGGGCGTTTGCATATCCTTCTCCATTGGGATCCTCACCACGCATCTTTGCCCCATCCTCCTCGTGCACATGGTGCAGTAAATCCCCACTATCTGTCAGTGGACTTGCTTCAACACCAGTAGGAAAAGAGGAGCGTAAAGTGGTCTCCGCGTTGCGGCAAAGCTTATCAACTCCCATTGAGCTCTCCACGAGCACCCCATTGTCTAGCACATTAGTGGCTTCTTCTTCTAAACCTTTTTTTGACTCCCGTCTCGCACGAGGAGTGGAAGAACGAAAGCGGCAGCCCCACCATTGTGCACTTCTCAAACCCCAACCACGCAGACTTGACGATGAAGCGGGAATGAGACGCGTGGAGGGGTGCACAAAAGTCGCCACATCAATTCGATGGTTCGATATGCAATCTAGGGAGCCTAACAAAGAACGTACTCTTGAAAGGCGACTGACGCGACCAGACCACATGGTATGAGCTTAACCTCTTTCTGCTAATGAAAACGTAGTAATGAAAAGGACAAAAACGCAATGAAAGGCTAAGCCAACCAAATTCAAAAGCGATCTTGGAGGAAAGCTGAGAAAAGAAGGAAGTTTTTTTCGTAATTTTAATCTAATCTGTGTAATGAACACAATCAATAAGACAAATACTCTTCCTTTCACAACTTGCGTAAGAAAAAGAGAAAAAAAGTAAACTAACTAAAAAAAGTGGTATAAAAACATAAAAAGGGTGAAAAATATTGACTAATCTGCATGATCGCTAAATTTTAACGCAGAAAATCTACTTATAGCTGAATCCGTGCAATCTATGTCGCTTCTATATGGATGCGGCGAAGGAAGCCCCACCTCTGCAAATACAAAGCATGGAAAGCAAATTTGAAATGATAAAACTGGGGAGTATGGAGAAGGGGAGTTACAACACATTTTCGATGCTTCCCCTCCCTCCCCCCCCCCCCCCAAGACAAGGGAAAAGAAACCTGTATGTGCTGCACAACTTTCACATCAATGTAGAAGTCTAGAAGTGTACACACGAAACCACTACCATCATAGTTAAGACTGAGTGTTATCTTACGAAATCCCTCATCTAAGAGCTTCAATCCATGTTCAAAGCCCAGCGGTGTTAATCTGAGATCATAGCATTATACTCATCACCTTACGTGTACATCTCCCGCCTCGCCACTTAAGACCGCGCGAATGGAACCTAACTACTTTATGTCATATCGCATAAAAATCATGATGCATTTTTCGATGACTTCTACAGAAGACACGTTCTATACGTTGATAATTGCAGCCCTATAGTCTGTTCATAGTATTCCCATATGCAGTCGCACCCTTCTTCAGGTTGCACTAATCCATATCCTCGGCATATTGGGGGAGAGGTGGGGAGTGTATGCCCTAAACGTGAACGAATGAAGTCCTTGAAAAGAACCCCCTCGACAGAATAAAAGAGATCATTCAGTAAGGCACCACTAGATAATAATATATGTGAGCAATAATGTATATCCATTCTACTTTCCCCTTATCATGTTGAGTATTCTCCTATATAAAGACCATTTCTTAAAAGCTACTACAGCTTCGATCATAAGCTACGCTTTCATTAGCTACAATAGATAATTGATGCACCGGAGCCTCTTAATTAAGTGCCCAAAACTAAGAGCCACGGCGGAGAAAAAAAGGAACGGTGATGAAGCCCTTCTAACGCTAAAGTGACATTTTCCTTCTTTTGTATATGTAAAGGAAGGATTACTTTTTCAAAAGAAAAGGGAATATAAGACATTTCTCACAATGAAACTAGAATCATTTACTTTATATTTCTAAAAGTTGAATAATAAAACCTATACAGGCACAAAGTAGTATTTTTTTATGTACTTATTATACCACAGCACTGAACTAAGTAGTGAAAATAGTGATAAAAACAATACGAGAAAAGCCCACATTAACGTGTTGTTCGGGAAAAAATGCAAAAAGACTCCGAATAGATAGGCATAATAAGTGTGTATAATGATTCATTCTACTAATTCTTATTTAATTCAAACTCTAATCAAAATATTCAACTCGCAATAGGGGTTACATAATCTTCAACCAAGCACTCATGCCTGTTTTCATACCTTCTGAACATTCCCCTCGCTACATTCGGAATATTAACCAGAATAATTTGTATGAATAACATTCAATTTAATAATTTTTTTTCCAAGCAAACTGACATGATTGTCTTTCCCCGCAATTCAACTTTACCTTCTCCTTTCCTTATCCCATTGTTTGAATATGCTCCACAAATATTAATGCTGAGAAAGGGAATAATGTAGAAGGGCAAATATTTGTTTACTAAAAATAGTCTCGTATGCATGCATAATGCATCTTTGCGCTCCTTCCCTTAGATTTTTTACCCTAAATGAGTTTTTTCCCCTTCCCATTCTTTAACCCACCGGAAGCGAGCAACAGCAAAAAAAAAACGACTCAGTTACGCAACCTAAACTACCAAAGAATATTCACGAACATTGTTGAGAGCATTCTGCGCTTTTGTAAGCGCCTCCATCATTTCCTTTGTAGCCTTGCGCTGCGCCGCTACGTTCGGATTCTCCGAAAGCAGCTCCTTCGCCGTCTTCTCCGAGTACAGCTCGCGCACTAGGCGGGCGTAGACCTCCTCACGCAGCTTCGTGATCATGAGCAGCGTGATAGCCTTTGGCACCTGATCCGAGATGTTCCCCTTCACGATGTTGAAGTACCCCTCCACCATCTCACGAATGGCGTTGTTCATATGCTTCTCATGCACCGTCATGCTGTTCCCAAGCATAATCCGACTCGGCACGTCGTTCATATTCCCCTTTTCACCTTGCGCGGCCAGAGAGTCGATGATGCCCTTGTCTTTGGACTTTTCGAACTTCTTCCCGTCCTTGTCCTTGTCCTTCTCCTTGTTCTTTTCCTCTTTTCCGCCCTTTTCGGGGTTGCCATTCTGCTCATCCGACCCGTCCCCCTTCGAGCCCTTCCCCCTTGAGGGATCGCCGTACATGTTTAAGAACGCCCGCTGCGCGAGCTCCTCCATCTGCGGGTGCTTCACATTAATAAAGCCACGCTCGGCGTTGATGATGGTGCGCACATGGTTAGACGTCGGACCGCGGAACTCCACCAGCATAGACTGGCAGATGCCTATCACCGCCTGCTTCAGCTTCTGAAAACGATCAACCTTACCGGCGCAGATCTCAACAATCTTGATGAGTTCCTCGTAGACGAAGGTTACACACTTCAGCGAGGGCTCCTCCAGGCGCCCGACCTGCTGCTTCGACAGCGCCACAAAGACCTGATCGGAAGGGAAGAGCGTGGCGTGCATACCGGCCATATTGCGTGTGTTGATGCGAATATACTCATCTGTTAAATCCTTCCGGGCAGAGAGGCTGGTTACGTAGGCTGCGAAGCACTCGTGGAAAATGTAGTCCAACCGTGCACCCCCCAGAAGTTCCTTGCTCGCGTCCGTGATACCACCATCAATGGTTTGGTTCAGCTTATCACTGAATTGTTTAATCAATGAGAGCAACTGCGCGCTAGGTTCGATGTTGCTTTGTTCGAACATACCCAGCTTCTCCATCTGCTTCTTCGTGCCCTCCATGAGTCGTTCTATATGAAGTTTGAGGTCCGGGATGACGGAGCGAATGTGGTCCAGCAACAGACCATTGAGCTTCTTGCTAAGATAGACGGTTCCCTGTTCATTTGCGATGGGAGCATACACACTTGAGTTGAGAAAGAACTCCTGCTCAGACGCACGGGCCTCCTCCATGCCCTTTTCGGTGTTAATATCCTGCTGGCTTCGGCAGATGACCCCGACGAAGCCGTGGCGAAGAGGGAGCACCTTGTTCGTCAATACGTCGTAACAATCCGTACCGCGATCCATAAGATCGAGTTTGGTGAGCACACCCACCGTGCGGTTCCCCTCAGGATCGAGTTGGTGCGCGAGTCGGAGCGATTGGCTCGTGGCGAGATCCGTGTTGGCGGGAGAAATAGCTAAGATGATGGTGTTCTTCGGGGCAACATACCTCGTAACCATCTCCTTAATCTGCCGGTCAATATCCTTTGGCTGATCGCCGACAGCGTTCATCACGAGACCCGGCAAGTCGACCATGGTGAGGTTGAGAACGTGCGCGGAGTACACCTTCAGGTTAATGGGTTTGTCCGTGATGGCGGACGGGCCGGCTACTTCGTTGGTACGCCTCGTGATTTCATTCCGGATATCGGAAAACACAAAGAACTTCTTGTTCGGCAGGTGCAGAAACTCCCCCCACTCCTCCTGGCTGTTCTTGGGCAATTGGATAAGCTGCAAAACAAGTGGACACCGAGTCACGATGCCAGACCCTCTCGGCAAGAAGTCCTTGCCCACAATGGATTCTAAAACGGAACTCTTCCCGCAGCTCTGCGAACCCACCACCGCAATCTGGGGAAGGTTAAGTTTTATGTTGATCTTCACATTCGCAAATGCGTCGTGAAGCTCGTTAATCACACCAATCAATTGATCCATTCTTCTTCTTTATGTTTGTAGTAATAAGATCACCCGACGACGTCACTTCCTGCTAATAGCTACCCAAAGACAGGTAAAAAGACAAGAAGAAAAGATGTTCGAAGGGGATGTTGTCACGGAGCCTCACTCGACTGTGCAAAAATTACACACACAATTCAAGTGAGCAAAAAATACACTCATGAAAATGAAAAGGAGAGGCTAATCTTTGCGTCCCAATCAGCCTATACAGACTCAGACCCTTGCATTGCACCAATGAAGATATATATAGATAGATATACATACACGCATTTCACTTTCCACGTATTCAGAAAATCCACACACGCCGATTGGCTTCTGAAAAGAGATATGTCTCGTAAACATACAAGAAGATTTGAGTAGCAGCATTCCTTTATTGAGCTCGGCACACACACATACACGCACAAACTCAAACGCAAATACAAAACCTATGGATTTTCTCACATTTAGTTAGTCAACATCTAGCAGCGTGCGAGGCTCATCCTTCGTTTCCACATCAGGCGCTGGAAAGGAGTTCAATTCCTTTATCAACGAGCGCGGTAGGCCCGAATTTGGTGCATGGTCCCCTAACACGTTCAACCCCTTCGACTCTTCCTTGGCTAGATCCTCAGGAAAGAGCAAATCCTTGCGTGAATGAGTCTTTTGAGATGCGGCACCCGCATCTGAAGCAACCCCGCCGCAAGCTGCGGAGGCAGGCAGTTTATTGCCTGCTCTGGATAAGCTATTCTCCTTTTCCGCATTTTCGCCAGCGCAACCATCCCCCTTGGATCCGAAGGCGTCAGCCTCCCCTGCCTTGTTGTCGTCTGCCATATCTTTGGAGGCAAATCGAGTTTTGAATCGGAGGTAACTGCGACGGCTGCGGGCCTCACGCTCGGCCTCGGTGAGTGGCACCATCACCTTCAGCTGCCCGGTTGTAGACGAGCGCTGCACGCGAGCTTTATCGGGTGAGAGCTCCACCTCCAGTGGGATCTGCAGTAACTTGCCTTTGATGTAAACCCGTATGCAGTTGACCTCGACTTGGACGTTGAGCAGCGTTGTCGAGATAAACTTGCCAGGCTCCACGGTCACGACAACCTCCTCTGGACCGTCTTGATCGACCTCAAATGGCACTTTGCCCTCGTTGCGCAGCAAGAGGCGTCCATACTTTTCAATCTCCTCCTCAGGCGTCAAGGGCTTCTTTTTCGCATTGAGCTCCTTGTGAAGGGCGGATATGGATCCCGGAACGGGCTCCTCCTGCTTCCTTCGCCGCTCCGCCTCTATATTTTCCTGCTCTCGCAGCATCTGGAGCCGTTCTTCAGGGGTATGACCATACACGCGCTCACCTTTATCGTTATACTTGGGAGGAAATGGATCGATGCCCTTCGCTATCATCTCAGCCTTGATGCGCTCAGCCTCACGCGCCTTAAGGGCCTCTTCCCCGACGGTTTCTGAGATGACCGCCTCGGACTGTCGCGCGGTGATGCGATCGGCGCGAATGATCTCCTCACCATCAAGATCCTTTATATGTGGGAGAGTGTGCAACACATAGGCGCGGTAGCCCTCAATCTGGGTGCAGGGGTTCCCCGTTAGGTGGAGTGTTTCTAGGAATGGATTCGCGAGTAGTGAGTCCACAGTGGAAAGGTCGGCGATGAAGTTGAGCGTTAGGTCCAGTCTCTCCAAAGACTCACAGCCCTCGAGACCCTCAATACGAGTGATATTATTAATTGCCAGATTCAAATACTTAAGCCATTTGAGATGTATTAGTCCCTCAATTTTGCTAATGTAATTATTACATAGGTATACGATCTCCAATTGCCGGCAAATGTCCCCGATTAATTCAATCTTCTCGATATCCTGTTGATGTAGAGTTATTTCTTTCAAATTACTGAGACAGCCTTCATTGTGTTCAGAACGCCTGCGAAGCAACTCTATAGTGATGCGGGTCATTTACCCACGCAGTCCTCCTATATGAGCTCAAAACTTTTACAATAATATGGATTATCAGTCTTGTGGAATTGTTAACCAGATGATTACTTCTAAATGTTAAATGAAATGTGACGATGAAGGAACTGAGTTAACAAAGAATAAAAGGGTCTTGCATACATGGATGTGTGTATGTCTGCTACATCTCTGATAACCAGGATACAATCCACGCTCTTACGGGGAAATTCGGTTTTTTAATCATGCGAAATATCACTTCTCAGACAAACAAACAAAAAGGGGGGAACCACAAACCCTCCCATTCACATGGTTAAATCGAAATCCTTCACTCTCATATTCATACCTAATTGAGGGTAATTATTTAGGATCTTGAGATATTGTGCTTATAAAGCGGGACTTTGCTGCCTCAAACGCAACCTCATCATGAGAAAACACCGCCTCATCGATTTTCATGGCGTGCTCTAAGAATGGTGAAGAACCTGGTTGGCGATAATCATAGTAGCCTTCCTTGACAAGACCCGCACCGACCACCGAGGCGCGCAGCAGGGTGCTAAACGTATCCATAATAACCTCATAGAAAGGCGAGCTCACCGACCGGGCCCTCATCAAGGTGTGCAGGCCATTAACGGTCGACGTAAAGGCGGTGTGGGTTTGCCCGGGGTACACCGCCTGAAGGGCGAACGCCTTCTTGAAATGGAAGTCGAACCGCCTCCCGAGGACAAACTCGCGAAGGCCGTAGTGGGAGCACACGGCGCAGAGCGTCGAGCAGAGGCAGGGCGGGAGCGGAGTATCCACGGTCCGTCCAAGCAGCCCGTTGATCAGCCCTGTGGTCGCCCTGAGGGCGTGTTGGGCGTAGGCTGCCAAGGCCGACGCGTTGCTACCGGCATAGTAATTACTCACCAGCCCCGCCCCAAAGGCGCAGAGTGGCAGACACGCGTTGATCAACTTCACCTCCGCCCCACTGTCAGGCCCCTCCAGAAGGGTGACGGCCTCGCGACGGAAGAGATCCTCTTGGAGGTGGCGTCGGAGCGCGGAGACGAGCCCGGCGTCCGATGTCGCGTGATTTAGCGCGAAAACGAGGGCGGTGCCGGAAAACTGTCGGGGGGGGTCGCTCCTGGTCTCGGACTCCTGGTCAGGCGTGAGGCCCTGCTCAGGAGAAGAAGAGGGAGAGCCTGGCGGGTTCGACTGCGCTGCCCACTCCCGCGCGAAAATCGGCCCCGTCGCGCTCAAAATCAGCGGCATCCCCCTTCTTTCCCCCTCCTCTCCTTCCACCTCACCGCCCGGCAGCATTTCCTGACAGGCGAGATCCACCGGCGTGACCCCTGCCGTGCTCAACCCACGCGTAAACACCGCAAGAAAGGAAAAAGGCCCCTTCCCTCCGCCGGTATCGCCCTTTCGATCGCGCCAATCGCGAAGGAAAGTCCTGACGGGCGACGTGGAAGAAAAGGAGGGGGAGGGGGCGATGAGCGACTCAGCAGGGGTGCAGAGGAAGACGGCGTGGGGCCATTCGCGTTCGGCTGCGGTGGGGTACGATACGATCCGCAGCCGTGGCGGTATGCGGCGGGTGAACCCCGCGGACGTCGCCGCCCCACCCGCCTTCCCATCCCGACTGAGGAGGGAAACGGTGCGGGATGGGTGATTCGCGAGGAGCGCCAGGGCGCACGCCACGCCTAGTTCACCCGGACCTAAAACGGAAAAGTTCATGAGATTTGACTTTGTGTGCACATGCCTTGACCTAGGAGAGGTTACAAAAACTCATAAACCGAGGTTGGCCTCTGTTGAGAAGAGGGGGAGGGGAGAGGAAGATGCTCGAGTATACATCAGAAGTGCATCCAGAAAAAAAAATAGTCTCTGTTTCATATTTATGTATAAATACGTAGGCATACACTTGACTAGGATTAGAGCCCAAGTGAGGCTATAATTCATTATACTAGGCTCAAAAGTGAATATATTACGAATTAGCAAGC